TTTTTTTTTTTTTTTTTCACTTCGATGGGTTGAAGCATCTAGCGGTTATGAAGGTGATTCTAAATGCATTTTAGGATCTTTCTTCGGCAAAGGTTTTGTACTTTATTTTTGCTAAAAGGCGTGCATTATTAAAGCTACAAAACTACACATATTGTTGCTCTGGCAGAAGTAACCTGAGGTTACCAAGAAGTAGTCTCCATGGGAACTGAATTTGCTGCCGCACAGTTATAATACGTAGTCACTAGCCATTACACCGGCTACAAACAGGAGAGCGGCATTGTGAAAACGCCATAAGCATTTAAAAGAAACTAGCGTTAAACCGCTTGAAAATTAAGAAGTACACATTTAAATCTGAAACTATTACAGGTGGGTCAGGCTGAGTCTAATACCCAAAAAAATTAAAAAAAAAAAGATTAAAGTAGGTCATTTGTAAGAAAGAAAAAGCATTTTGGAATGCTGGACCACGATAGCGCCTAAGAATTTTTTTTAAGGAATATATGATGGGGGAGCGAATGTTTTTGTACATTGATGAGTAAAAGTTTAGGCCCAAGAGACATTGTGCATGCACCCACCAGCTCTGAAAGTTTCGTTTAAAATAGATTACTTTTTTTGTTAAGCTTGAATGCATGTCTTGTTTTGATAGTAATTCTTGCTAATTACCTGATACTGCAGTCGCGTTTTCGGTATTACTTCCTTGCCTGGATACGAAGTGTTTCTTACACAACTGTTACTGAATGTCGGCAAGTAGCTGAAACTGCGATATCTTTCGCTTATTTCAGTTTATGAACAACCTTTATCTTTTTGGCTAAACACTACCTAGTCAGATTTCTTTTGTTGCTTGCTTTGGCCGTTTTACTCGTACCGCGTTTGTCTGTTGAGTCGCTTTTTTTTCTCAAAATATTTTTCTGCTTGGTTTTTATTCCTTTGTTTTGCACGACTTTTGTCTGCTACAGAGGATGTAAGAAGGTCAAAAAACTCTTTTAGGCTTGCCGATATGTCAGGGTGTTTGGACCAAATTCAATGCAACTGCTTCATCGATATGGAAGGGAAAAGAAATGCGGTGGCCTCATGTGCTGCTTCAGTCCTAGTTGGTTTTTAAAAATTTCCATACGTTTAGCAAGGGTTCTACTGTCAGATGAAAAGTTGTTTATAAATGGATTTTTTCGTACTTAATTTGGTTATTTAGGAAGGGTCAATGTCTTAGCCGATTG